TCTCAGCATCAAGTTATTTCGCAATATTACCTCCACCGATACTTCCTCTAACGCTACCGCTACTGCTACTGTTGTTATTACTGCTACTATCAGAAAAACTAACTGATTTCTTATTTCCCTCCTTTTCAACCTATTCGATAATTTTATCTATAGAAGTTCTTCTTGGTGATTTTTAATGACGATAAAAACTAGCTAATGTGCTAGCACTAAGTCTGATTTCGATCGATAAAATATTGTACAATTGTGTTGGTGAACGAGCTTCTCTTTTCCTCCTGTTATTAAAAAGAGCCATAAATTCGACCCAATATGTTTCATATTCATCCGTATACTCAGAATATTGCCTCATAGAAATGTGACTTGTGGAAGAGAATCGATTTGATCCTGCTAGAAAAAAATAAGGCTCAGTGAGGTGCAGATAAGTATATATGTATGATGTGATAATTTCTGGTAGCGCATAACCTACCTTGAGATACCGCATCATTTCTCCATTCAGCCTCTGTACGCATTCTTTGGAGTTCATTGCTTAATGTTAAAACTGTTCTTTCGAGATTATTATTTCCTGATCACATTAGATATTTGCGAAAAAAGATGATAGCGATGGCAACGATTATGTAAATGCTTGTATTTCCTGAAAGAATTTCCTGGATTATGTTCATAGTTAGGGCACCATGGCTTATCATCTCGAAAATAATAATTATGATGCTAAAAACAGTGAACAAAAAAATATCTGAGAACATTGTTTTAGATTGATTTAGTTTGATTTTGTTATATGCAGAATTATTCTTGTTAGAGGAATAGTTTTAGAAAATGATAAAATATAAAGTTTGTTAGTTCAAAGAGTCTGGGCGACTTCGGCAATAAAATTTATTTGATTTTTTTTCCTACCTAAACCTTCCTATACATCCTCCATTTTTATAATTATATTCCTTCCTCAGTTGATCATCGCAAAACATGCAAGTCCTAGATCTTTACTGACGATCCTGAGTTGCAAATTAATCTAGCAGGTGATCGGTCAAAGGTGTTTCGTCAAAATTATTTAATGTTATTATTCATATGTAAAGATCATCAAGGGGTTATACATATTTTTAAGAATGTGCGAGAATGTTTGAGAATAAATTATTTTGCGCAGTTGCTTATTCCCGTGATACATATAACGATTACCATAATATTACTACGCATTATTTATGTTGACACTATAACTTCTCTTTCCGGAATAAATATGGTAATCCTATCTATTAATTTGCTGATCCCGATTCTGAAATTAAGCTGTATTAACATGCAGACCTCTAATCAATCAATAAAGTCAAAAAATATTAACACTCTCCCCTTTTTCTCACTATAGTTCGAAACTGAAGGAGGGGGAATTGTCATAAAAGGCCGATTTGCTGTAACGAATTTTGAACGCGAATAGCTCGTCAACCAATGACCCAATTTTGATAAGGATTAAACGTCTGGATTCTGCAGGTTCTGGACATTTACCAAACCAAATTTCGTGAAATTCTGATCACTGGATGCGTAGTTATTCAGAAAATCGTAAGGTCAATTATTTTAGACATATCACGAATGAATCTTGGAGAGGCCACATTACCAAAGTGACGTGAGAAGTGATGATGATCCGGCAACCTACAAAATACTAGTTTTTGATTCTGGGAACCTAAAGGAGGTGAGAAATTTATAGGTTGTTATGCGAGAATTCATAGCTACCCAGTAATCCCCAAAATGTATTATTAACACTATATAAGAATTGTAACTTCAATCATCTATGAAACCTGATCCAGAAGTCATAGAAATGCTAACCCAGTTCGACCAGATGCAGAATATCGAGAGCTTCAAAATAAGCCAAGGTGTGAAGTATTCAGATCACAGGAAGCCAGAATAGCTTTGACAGTTGGGAAAATTTACTGTGCTACATTATGGGTTAGAAATTGACAAATCGTAAATCAATTTTACGTAACACGAATATAAAAGAACCATCATCCCAGATGCTACGATCATCGCAAAACACGAAACAAATATGACAACTTTAATATCTATTAATTTGCTGATCCTGATTCAGCTGAAAAATAATAAACCTATATGAGCCTGGTTAACCAAAGGGACGCTTCGCATAATTCAGTATACAATCCACCTAATAATTCTCCTAACTAGATACCAGAGATATAATAGGACTCATCATTGGTGATGTTTTCCTCGTCTCTGGCTAAATATTCTGTTTATATGTTATATCTTTAAACAAAAAAATAGCAAAGCACCTTCAAAAAAATCATGCGATCATTGCTCTAGGATAAGTCTTTCCAGTATCTC